TGGGTTTTTTTCTTGAGAAGACTAAATCTGACCTTTTTTCAATTATCAAGGTTATGTGACGTCTGAAGATTCTCCTCTGAGAAAGACTTTTCCTCTTTCTCACATATTTATACACAACAGTGTTCAGTGCTGGTTGATTTGTGATATTTAGGGATTGGACTGAGGTAAAACTGACAATCCTCTTTCAGTAATTATATAATTGACCGCACATCTTCTCAATTACTTATGTTTTTTGTGAAATGCACATGTCATATGGCCAAAGATTATGAATTGATTGTCTACTGTGAAGAGTGTGCTAATGATCTTCTGATACCTCTTTTGTAAGTTATTCAGTTTTCTTGTGAATATACATTGTTATTTATTTCAACTATTTATTTAATAAATGATTTGTTAATAAAAAAAACCCTCCTGAAGCTTTTCATTCAGATCGTTCTTCCTCACTTCAACGCAGATGTTATTCTATGAAATATTTCCGAGCCTGTGCACTAGGTGACCTTTGCACAGTCAGTGTGCAAATCAAAACAACAGGCACAGAATATCTGGAGGGGAAACCCACAGCCGGAAAAATGTCTATTACATTTTTGATGGTGTTGGAAAAAAACTAAAAACAAGTAAAGAAATTAAAATCCATTCATACTTGGAGAAGCAGTTTGCTATCATTGCCTGTTAGAATAAATTGTATTAGTATGTTGAGCAGCAGAAGCAGACCTTTATATCGTAAACATCAGTGTGTAGTGAGGAATCGAGCCACAGCATCAGACTCCAGTGAAACTATTTCACACGTCTGATGTGCAGTTAAGGCCGAAGCTGCAGCGTCAGAACAAACAGCTCTTTGTTCGTGCTCAACAAGCCCGGAGACGTTCGTCCAAAAGTCCTGTGATGACTGTGTGGACACAAGCTGGCCGCAGCTCTCCGTCCATTGACCACAGGCCTGAATGAAGAGCTCTGAAAATGACAGCTTAACTTGTGACCCCCTGAGGTCAGAGGTCGTTCTGAAGTCAAACACTGACCAGTTGACCAACGCGCAGATGGAGTTGAGGAAAATGTCAGTGTGCTGCTGCTCTCAGTTTATAAAGACACACGCTAAATGCTTTTTATAGGCAACACCATCGAACTGATACAAAACAAAAGCTGAAAATTAGTTATAGTTCCGATTAGGTTCGAGAGGTTAGCATCCCGGGACCCGAAGGGACGTGTCAGAATTATTTGATAGAATAAAAACAGTCCAAAAGACAGTTTACGATCATTAGACAGAAAGATCAACTAGTATCTGTTATGATTTTATTGATTAGATTACATAAAAATACTAATAATTCAATACCAATATTTTTTGTTATCATATATTTTGTCTGGCGTGTGAACCTACGAACACTGAGCAAGGTCCCGGCCGAGGATCTGAGGCTCTGACTCATACAAGAGGAGAAAACTCAATATAACAGGAGGCCAAACCAGGGAAATCTTTAAAACTCTACAATTGAGTAACCAGGGAACAGAGGCTAAAACAAGGCTGATGGGACCTTGTCCTCTAGTTGTTGTTCACAGTCAAGCAGATGAGATGTGATTTTCCTTTTGGCTCAACCCTGAAAACAGTGAATAATGATAATCTGAGATTAAATAAAAGCATTGATGACCACGGTCGAGAGAGAAAAGACCCAATCTGAACTGATCATGTATTTTTCAAATGAAAGTTAGCTGCCAAACATCAAACCCAGGTTTCTGGCTGCAGGTTTTATATTTAACAGATTAATCAATATCATGAAATAGTTATTGCTTAATTTTCTGTCATCATCAAAACGATGGATAAACTCTTAGTTTCAGCTCCAGTTCCGATTTCAGTGGTTTTGTTTGCGGCCATTTTAACCCAGGTCAGACGTTTACACGCCTAATCGTCTTTTGTCACTGTAGAAAATGTGTGTGGGTGAAAAAGCAACCGACTGAGCTGAAGAGCAAACACAGGGATGGTTTCGGGCGCTGTCACCCGGCCGTTAAACTCTGGCTAATGGTGTGTAAACGGAGCAGAGGGCAGCTGGACACACTGACTGGAGGCCTGTGGGAACCGACAGGTGACTCTTTGTAACGCTGCAGAAATACCAGATAAATATTATTGTACTGGGACAGAGACTGTGCAGCAGCAGTCTGTCTCTCACGCAACATGAATTTAAGGAGGTATTTACCACTTCTGCAATTTCACGGTGAATTCAGCAATTTCACAGGGAACTGAAATAATAACTGAAACTACTGTGGTTATAAATAGCTGAATTTCCTGCTAATATGAGACATGATATTAAAAGCGGTTTATTTCTTCATGTGTGAAATGTTTCGGCGTAATTCAAACTCCCTCATGCTGGATTGTTCACTCGTCTTATGAAACAGGAAAGGAAAGGCATGTGATGGCTTCTTGCAAACAAGCTGCCAGGATTTCAAATGCATTTTGCTGATACACCTTATTTACAGAAATGGCCCAATCGCAGCATGAGCATTACTCTGACCTCAACTTTCGAGCAGGATTATGAAACTCTGCGATGAAAATAATAATAAATCTGTACGCTTCTCTTTCCCTCCACCAAGTGTATTTGCCTGATTGACTATTCTCTCCCAAGTATGTGGGTAATCGTCTATTGAGAGCACATTTCCTTATCAGCGTCTAACACACTGTCTGAATCCGTTATCACAATGGGCCAGATCAGTGCAGGCAGCCCCTCGCTCTCCCGGGTGAGGCGCCCATGAAAAAGAATTTCTGGAGTTGGGTGCCAACTGATAGGCCCTGAGCTCTTTATCCCCTTAAAGCCAATTCACACTCTGCATGTTTAAATATCTTAGCTCAACCCCTGCCCTCCCACTCCCGTCATGCACTCGAAACCCCCTCCTCCCTCTTCGCCTTTCCTCTCACTGTCTCTCTCCCTCTCTCCCTTTAACCCCAACACGGCTCCAAGTCCAAGCGTGGACTGCCGCCGCAGCTGACCCGCAGTGCGCTGTGGGTTGGTGGGTGGGATGCAGGTGCAGGGAGAGAGAGAGAGAGAGAGGAGGGGAGTCCCTCATTGTTGGGCTGGACAGCACCCTCTCTCCTCTGGAGCACCCTCTGATGGGGGAGCCCACTGACAATCACGCATTCTAATCTGATTATGCAAATGTCTACTTCAAAAAGCAATGCGCTGTAACCCTCACCCTGTGGTGGGAAGACAGAGCGAGTAGGAAGGAAGGAAGGAAGGAAGGAGAGTAGGCAGCAGGAATGTGGAAAGGGAGGTGTGGATGGTTGGATTCCTGAAAAAATTAAGCACAAGGGCAAAATACACCATCAGAATCAATTTTGTTTCCGACACCCTCACACCAGTTTCTCCCACGTGTCCTCTGTGCCGCCAGGGGAGGTCTGAGGACGAAGCGGGGCTCACTTAACAAACTCTGAATGGCCACCAACTCCCACAGCAGGGCATTGAATCCCGTATTCAAATGCTTATTGTTTTTCCAGACGCTCCTGAATCCGGTGTCAAAAGGAATCTACAATGTTAATGAGGGGGCTAAAGTACCCAGAGTTAAGATTTCAGACATCCAAACAGTTGGACGTGACATTTCCCAAGAACAAGGCGGCCTCTACGCCACCGATTCCTAAAGGCACGGACCACAAAACCCCCCCGCCTCCTAAATATTCACGCTAAGCTGAGCGCCCTGGCCTGAGCTGATTTCTGAAATCAGCTGCTTGATTCTTCTGCACGATACGTCTCTAAAGGAACAACACAAATCGACATCCATGCTAGCATCGCTGGACTTAAAGCAACACGATTCTTTACCCTACACAACTTGTTTGACGGTTGTGGGAGAAAGGAGCCTCTTCACTCCTCACGCTGGACGTGTGTTCTTGCTCTACGGAACTTTGGGGAGTGGGTGCAAGAAAGCGTGGAACTGACTGAGAGTCAAAGTTTAAATTGTCTGAATCAGCTTCAGCGAGTTGGAGAGTGATGCTGAACTAAAGAAGTCATTAAAAACCAGCGTCTATCTTCAATATTCAGTCAGAAAACGTTTTAAATTTGAAGGATTCTTTAGGGAATTTGGTGGATTTGTTGGTTCAGGAAGCCGGGGATCATGGGAAACATCCACCGTTCAGTTGTGTTTCAGATCAGTTAGTGGGACGACGCAGTCAGATTGAAAGGCTTTGGTTTTTCTCTGCATGAAAACCACTCGAAAAAGGACGACAGAATTATAGTCTTTGGCCTTGTCGCCTGGGAACCATGAACATCTGTAAAGATCTAAAATAAGTGTTATTTTTGACCTGCTCGTATTTTCTAGATCCAGGGTTAAATCATTAGAAGTTATTCTCCAGGACACGATGGACACCTCGGCCAAATTTCATGTTTATCCTTCTAATAGTTATTGTGATATTTCACAAAAGAAAAAAAACATCAACCTCTTGGTGGCAGCAAAGAAAAAGTTCTGGGAAGATAAAGGATCCATGTTTGTTTGTTCATACGTTCATGACAATCCATCCAGTCTGGACCTGGACTGACCCACTGTCCCTCGAGCCATGTCTTCCTAATGTAGGAATAATCCACTTATCATTCATACAGCTACTTTTGAAATGTTAATTTAAATGATAACCAGTCTGCATTTTTTAATTCTAATAGACCGACAATCCTTAACTTACAACATACAGACATTTCCCTTCTATGGACGTGTTTGGACTAACACTTCAGTATGCGGGGGAACTCTTCCGCAGGCACCCACATGCTTTCACAACTTCCTCAGATTATGCAATTGTGTCCAAGCCCATTGAGCTGAAGTCATTATCCTTTATTACACAGCATCTCGTCCAGCTGACAGCAAGGATCTAGCCTTCTGTGGTTTTTACTTCTTACTTCTTTCTACAGAGATTCTCCTCAGTGCTCTACAGCCATCACCTGTTACCTCTGACCATTTGTTTAAGGTACGTCTGTTATCTAATGCATTAAGTGGAACTATGACCCAGTCTTCAACTCTGTGAAGTTAATAATTGTTTACCTAGGAGCACGTTATAAAAAGGGTCCGGCTACAGCAGCTTTTCCTCGTGACACACAGCCACTATGGAGCAACATGGTGCTGGCTCTGCTTTCGTCGTTTGTGTGCTGCTGGCACTTTGTGCCACTCGGACAGCGAATGGAGGGAACATCTTGGTGTGGTACACTGAAGGCAGCCACTGGATTAACATGAAGCCCTTGCTGGAGGCTCTGGTCGACAGGGGACACCAGGTGACCGTCCTGGCTCCGAGCGTGACGCTGTTCATGAACACCAATATTTCTTCTCGCTTTCAGTACGAAAAGTTTGAAGTAGACATCTCAATGGCGGAGATGGAGACGTTTTTCGACAGCTTTATTCACTTCTCCTTATACGAGATGGATCAAATGAACTCTTTGCAGATTTACAGGAGATTTATCGAACTGATGGCGACCGACATGCAATATGGTTTGAAGTATTTGGACGGAGTGCTGAAATCAGACACCGTCATGAAGAGGCTGAAAGAAGGAAAATATGACCTCCTCCTGGCTGACCCCATCTACCCCGGCAGTGACCTGACAGCAGAGATTTTGGGCATCCCCCTGGTTTTCTCTCTGCGCTTTAGCTTTGTGAATAACTGGGAGAGATACTGTGGTCAGCTCCCCTCTCCACCTTCCTTTGTCCCGGCTGCTATGAGCAAACTGACAGACAAGATGGATTTCTCAGAGAGAGTGTGGAACTTTGTCTTCTATTATATGAATGACATTATTTTTAATTACATTTATTGGAACAAAGTAGATGAGTATTACTCCGAAATCCGAGGTGAGCGGCTAAGTTATTTTAAACGCACCATACTTTCCTCTGTTTGTTTAACTGCTTTGCTTTGAAAATCACACCTGAGTCATTGATGATACTTTTGCATTGTGACAGGGAAACCGACCAGTGCCTGCCAGATAATGAGTACAGCAGAATTCTGGTTGATTCGAACCTACTGGGATTTTGAATTCCCTCGTCCTTTCCTCCCCAACTTCAAATACGTTGGTGGGATCCACTGCAGACCAGCTAAACCTTTGCCAGAGGTAGTATTGTCTCTATTATTACAGGCCCATTCATCTAAAATCACAGCTCCACAGTATTCCTGTAACTTCGCTATATAAGGAGTAACAGAAGTTACATTTGGTTTGAATTGGGATAATACAGCTTTTCTCTTCTTGCAGGATATGGAAGAATTTGTGCAGAGTTCAGGAGACGCTGGCATCGTGGTCTTCACTTTGGGATCCTTTGTCAAGAACATGACGGTTGAGAAGGGAAACATGATCGCCTCGGCCCTCGCTCAGATCCCACAAAAGGTCAAATTAGTTTAAATTTAATGAACCTTTCAGGTTTTATGGGTTAGGGCTTACCCTATTATATAACCCCAGTGCTGACTATCTGAGGTCCTTACTAAGTTGAGGCTATTTAATTTAATTGAGAAAAAGAAGACGGCATTTGTTTGTGTCGACTTTGATGTCAACATTTTGTCTCAGTTGTTTTTATTCCATGTTGACAGTCAATAAAACCTTCATCTACCTGGAGAGGTGTAAATTACTCTGAAAGATTGAGATAAGATATATTAAGTAACACACAATGGTTCATGGGTTAAAGTCTAATTGGGATATTAGGACTGGACATTAGGTAAGGAGAATCACTTTCCAGATAAAAATACTGAAGTTATACAATATAATTATTTATTATTATAATAATATAATATATATATAAAGATTATACCTGTGTTAGTCCAAACATGTGTTTACTGTTGTTTACAGGTGCTGTGGAGATACAGTGGAAAAAAACCAGAGACTCTTGGTGATAACACCAGAACATATGACTGGATCCCCCAGAACGACCTGCTGGGTAAGTCGAGCTTTAATTAAAGCTTTCAGCAAGAAGCTTTATGATTTTTACTTTTTAAAGAAACACGTTATCCGCCACACTGTTTGATTCACGTTGTGCTTTGCTTTGTGTGTCCATCACCAGCAGACTCACAAATCAGGGGTTAAATACATTCCCGATTGTTTAGACTTTCCTTTGTCACTTTCCCAGTGTGAACGCTAAACATACATGAAGCTCATGCAGCTCAGATTTATCAGATGGCGTGACAAAGCTTGTTCTGTGGACTCCGCCCAACAAGGGCAAAGTGAATAAAAGGTGCACAAAGGTAACTTCAGAAAAGAATCCTTGAAGCTGCCAGCTTCCACTCACATGTCTTTTTTGGGCTGGCTACCTTCCAACTTGGCAAAGTAGGCATAATTTCACTTATTCTTCTTGTAGGGATTTTACAAAGTGAAATCTAGTTTTAAAACTGTTTTTGTTTTTATTGAGCTCATTGTGTTCTTCTGTTTTATCAAACTCTGGTAATAATAATCAGCCAAAGTGGTACTACTCTATCATAGGAGAGCTATAAGGCTGCAACTCAGATGTTCAGCGTCATGCTTTATTTTATAGGTCCCATATTTTCCAACTTATTTACCAGAAAGCTTCCTCAGAATCTACCCAAAAAATACATTAATATAAATAAATATCTTGTGTTTAGTTGTTAATTGATATAAAGTTTTCTAGAAAGCTCTATGTAACGCTTTAAGGTTTCAACCTTACTTTGTAAAGTGTCTTGAGATAATTTATATTTTAAATTGGCGCTATACAAATACAATTTAATTGAACTTGGTAGTAATTTTAAGGGAAATGTAGAAAGTATTAGTTCCTGCTTTATATTGGAGTTTCCGAGGAATACAAGTAGGAAATGAGTTAAGTCAGACATTGATAACCAGTGTTGTTTCCACTTGAATCAATATCTGAGGTGGATTCTGGGTGCGTGGGTGTGATATGTAATCAATTACAATCAATACAGAACCCATGCACAATGCAAGGTTTTGAATGCACGCAGATTAACTGTCATTATCTTTGGTATCTTATCAGGTCACCCCAAGACCAGAGCCTTCGTCACCCACGGTGGCACCAATGGGATTTATGAGGCCATCTACCACGGTGTTCCCATGGTGGGCATCCCCTTGTTCGCTGACCAACCAGAAAACATGATCCACATGAAGGCTAAGGGAGCTGCAGTTGCCGTGGACTTAAACTTCATGAAGGCTGAGGACCTTAGAGATGCAATCAATACTGTTATCAATGAGAAATCGTAAGTTCCCTTATCGGCTTGAGTCCATTCCAGGGTTTTAAAAATGTATTGGGTCCTTTTCTCATCATTGTTTCCAGCAGGTTAAATTTAAGACTTCAAAGGCTTTATTGCTTCTGTGACAAATTAAACAATAAAATGCACATGAACTCACCTTTCCACCCACGTTCATCCAGGTACAAGGAGAGTGCCATGCGGCTGTCCAGCATCCACCATGACAGACCCATCAGTCCTCTGGATGAGGCCTTGTTCTGGATCGACTTCACCATGAGAAACAATGGGGCCAAGCACTTGAGGGTCCAGTCCCATGAGTTGACCTGGTACCAATATCACTGCCTGGATGTCCTGGTCTTCCTCCTCGCCATCGTTCTGCTCACCACACTCCTCTTCATCATGACCTGCCGTTTCTGCTTTCGGATGTGCTTCGGCAGGAAAGGCAAGAAAAAGACTGAGTGATGGACTTTAAAATGAAATGGAACGGAATGATGGGTGAAACTCTGATAGTTTTCAGGTTTTCCTGTTGAGTCTGAGGCATGTTGTGTCCCCACAATGTCCTGGATGTGTTTGTGATCAGGGATCCACAACTTCTCAAACAACTTAGAGTAGGTAAAAAGCAGAAAAATAAAACTTAGTCATCTACATAGACAAATACCACAGATTAACTTTCCTCAATAAGAGCACGTCTCTTTTGCTCCCTCGTGTATAGTCAGTAATTAGTGCAATTGCTCAAAGGTGTGTGTGAATTTGCATAACCACACCTTTTTATTTTTTGATTCCACATTTGACGTTTAAGGCTCAACGTTCATTGGCTGGTAAAAGATTAGACACAAAAAAAACACACAAAGGGATTTGATTCTGTGCCTTCACTTATATATTATTATTACAAATGACCCCACTGCTTCACATTTTTTTGGCACACTACAGCGTCATCACATATTCATACCAACACAGACACATGAGCTGCCACTTTGACATACAGGATACTGTGTTCCAACATAAATCAAGTGATATAATCAAACTAAAAAAACTAAATAAATTAATACACAGCCCTCCAGAGATGACAGAAACCTCACACATACAGATTTGCATTGCAGCAACTGTCTTTTCATGTCTGAACAGTGCAGAGTTCGTTTCTTGTTTTATTTCCATCATTTTTTCAGTTTTCCACTTTCTTTGAGCTTCCATAACATGAGCTCCATGCAGGCAGCAGCGTCGTCGGCGGTGTCGTGGCCACAAACTGGGAGAAACAGTAAATAATTATTTATAACTCATTCAAACAACAGTAACAACCTCTCTAGTAGAACTGCATACATATTTTGTTTGATTCAAAGTTATATTATGACTGATTTTGTCTTTATTAGGATTGAGATGGGTTTTAGTTTGTAGACATTTGTGCGGTGGCTGTATCCATGAGGACCCACCACTCTCTTGGATGATCCGTCGAAGGTATTCAGCTGTCAGTTTGTTGAGGGTGAGCTTGTGGGGGGGGCCCAGACGGTGGGGGAAAACCACCGATGTGTCCACCACTGTCCCATGGAGCAACTACAGCAAAGAGGAACACATCTGAAGCTGTCGTCACTAATTGTAATGTGAAAATTAAACATATAAACACAGATTTGAGTGGTGGAAAGTAACCGAGAGAGGTACTAGTACATGATTTCTACTTCTGATACTTATATATATATATATTGTACTTTTTCCTCCTTTATCTCATAGCTGAGGTTCTGTTCCCTTTTAGGTTTTGATTAATACAAAATATAACCAGCAAGTTAATGTTCTGGAGTAAATCATACAGCTGTATATCGTCATTGAAAATACTTGCATCATTACCAGCTGCAGTGACACAAATACTTACGCATCAGTAATTATAATCCCATGTGTCATTGCATACTCAAAAAAGTATTTCTACACTGTTTTCTGATACTTCTGATCATACTTCTTACACCACTGGTATTAATCTAGATAAATCATCACAGCCACTTAAAACTCATACATTAGAAAACTACAGAGAAACGTTTCCAACAGTGCAGGCACAGTGTCTAAATAAGGCAGCATCCTGACTTACATCGGAGCATTCGACCGCTGCAGGAACATCCATCTCTGTTGTCTGGGCTTGGATGATGCAGTGTCAACGTTAGACTAAACTTCATCATTGTATATTTTGTCATAATTCAAGCAGTTCTTAACTCTGATGCTACAAACATCCTAATATTTGGCAAACGGTGGGAATTAGCTGCCAAAATCCCAAACCTCTCACATCTGTAGCACAAGTGTGGACCGACACCACAGTTTGTCCCTTTTCATGAGGTGTTTATAAAAACGCCCTGTTCTTTATGTCTTCTGAGCCAAATCTGACAAAAATATATAAAGACCAGACTCCTCACCCGCCAGGAAAAATCACCATGTTGACTCCTTTGTGTACTTAGCTTGAAAAACATTTCAACTAACAAGTGATAATATTAATGATGCAAAGTGAAATAACAGAAATGGGATTTGTTCCATTCCTCACATATGATTCATAGCAAAAATCATGTGTGAAATGATTTGAGGAGGATCGATGCTCTGGAAGCGATATGCAAAAGTAAAGTCAATAATATTGAAAAAAGTGTTGTCACCTTCAGGGCACAGAGATCTGCTTCCAGGCCGTGTCCAATCAGAATGGAGTCAGCACTAATGAAGCTCAGTAAGGTCTCCTGCACCTCTCTGACGGACGTGTTGTTACCCTTCACGTCTTCCTCACTGATGCCGGAAAATCTGCACAGGTAAAATGTCACAAGCCATCGAAAGAGATCGTTTTTCAACATAAAGTCAACACTTCTGATTATTACCCAGCTTTTGCGTGAAAAAACAGAGATTACATATCACAACCCCTCAACGTTACCTTGTGTTGTAATCAATGACCTCGTGATCGGGTCTGACGAAGGTGTCGTAGATGACTTGCAAACTCGAGTTGACCACCGTCACTCTGGACAGCTCCAGACCATGAACAGTGTAACACTACGAAGACAAAACATACACATATTTATGTTTTCGTTGCAGACCAAAGGTTCAACCACACCCTTCTAAAGGTGGCAAACATGTCTTGTGCAGCAAGATAAGCTCCTATATGCAGTATATTTACTTTGAAGCAAATACAATCAGAGGATAAGAGGGAGTTGGAGTAGTCCCTCTCAAAAGACGTGCCAGGTTTAATAAGCAAAATACTTTCTTTGGCATATCCCCAGTTTCGAATGGTGGAAAAGAGATGAACACTAATCACCACAACAACCGGAGCTTTTGAAAGATTCAGTTCAGGGTCAACATATGGTAAATTTTAAAAACCCTGCCCCTCAAAAAGAAGTTGACGTCACCATTTCACAATCCAAGGAGTAGACTCCAGGACAGCTCGTATCCATGGGATGTCTAGGCATGGTAGACACAAACCCATCCATGCAGAGGGAATCATGGACATGCAACTGTTGGAGAAGAAACAAAGACTTACCCATTACTATGTTTTCTTCGAAAATGCGTCACTGTTGCTACGTTTAAAATACTCCAGAGTTTGAGACAGAAGTTTTCTCATCTGAAAACTAGTCTGGAGCTGCATCGTGTATTAGTGTAGATGGGGTTTACAGATATGGAGCAAAAACACCTTTGTGGACATAGATCATCATATTTTAAAACCGTTTAAAAACTGAAACTTGTTAGTTTGGATGTAGCCTTTGTTCCGGAAATGTTTGACTACAATTGTTCTTTCCTACCTTAAACACCTGACATCCAGTTGCTCCCATGACTCCTTGGCAGCAACTGTAGCGGGTTTCCACACCACCAGGCACTGCAACAGTTTTAAACATCCCAAATAACATTTGTTAACGTCACCTTTGATGCCAAAATATTGCGACCGTTTTCTAATAATTTAAGGCCAAAATATTAATCAATTAGTCAGGAAAATATCTGGCAATTGTGTTCAAAGTTGTTTCCCTGCAAAACTTTACTTACCTCTGCTCTTTACTACTTTCCCATAGTGGTAGTTGCACTCCTCCTTGCGAATGTGTTTGCCCGTTTGGCTAACAGAGTATGTGGCCCCACATCGACAGCAGATCCTCTTCAAGGCTTTAACCAACAAAACAGACACAAAAAAAAAAAAAAGAAGCTCATCACCAGCGAAATGTGCTGAGATGCAACAGCTCAAGTTACAGGTGCCCTCTAGTGACACAATGTGAGAACAACATCCACTTGTATTTCCAGGGAGCTTGGTTGCAGCTGGAGTGGTGATGTTGTCACTTACGGTCTGTGTTGCCTTTCCTATTGTCGGCAAAGAGAGCAGCAGAGCCAGCTTTCTGCGGGTGCTGGAGAGGATAGTTCCTCTCAATCAGCCTCTCCTCACTCAAAATATAATCCTTCAAACTCTCGTACAATACTGCATCATCTGCAGGGGAGAAGAATAAACTGAGAAGCTGCCATTCAAAAGACATTTGAAACTAAGACAATTTGGAAACTAATTCTCACCATTTGCTTTCAACATCTCCAGGTTAAGGGGTATGTTGCCTTTCGATCTTTGGCCGTTGACTTTGTTTTCGTCTGCAGCAGAAACAATAACATCTTCTATCCGCATCATTTTTTCAGATTTCTTGAACAGTTTTCTGGAGATTCTCACCTTTAACTGAAACAGCACTTTGTTTCTTCAGCCTCTTCTGTAAATTCACAGCGACACTCAGATATTTGAGTTTGTTTGCACTACGATTGTACACAGTCTCCTCTTCAGCAACAGCCTGTCAACAACAAAACAGCAAAACGAATAAACATCCAGACAGTTTGACAGTGAGAATGACATTTAGCAACATGTGCTCACCTTTTCAAAGGCATCGTTGACATTGGCTGTCGTTTTCAGGAACTCCTCTGTAAACATTTTGACATAACGCTGTCTGACATCATGGGGCACTTTGTCTTTGGCGGCCCCGCTCTGCTGCTTCAGTTTACGTTTAGTAGACACAGGCTGAAAGAATAAATTCATNTTTCAGAGTGTGGTTGGGTCAGAGCTGAGGTATTTCTTCCTCTTTTGTGTCTGTTGTTTAAAACCAAACACAAGCTTTTTAACCAGTCTGTTAAAATGGCCCCACCAAAGACATTTTGTTTCAACTTCTTACCTTGGTGGCAGCAGTGGGCTGAGATGTAGCGGAGGCAGCTGGATTTGAATGTGTTGTAGCAGAGGCCAATGAAGTTCTACGTGTTGGAGCAGGAATGAGCACGGGTGCTGTTGGATGGTATCTTTGAACGGGAGTTACTGCAGCTTTATGGCAGGTTTGTTTCATAGTGCTCATATGCACTTGACTGACCGGGGTCACCACTGAAGAAACAGGGCAGGAACTTGAAGTGACAGACAGAGGGAAGGTGCCCTCTGGGAGGATCAAGTGCAAGTTGTTTCCTACTTGGATCACAGGCGGTCCCAAATGTAGGTAGTCCATGTGAGCTGTGCGATGAGACAAACGCATTCAGGCAAAGAGACAACAACACATCCCTGAAAGAAACTATATTTAAGTTTTACATGCAAAAACAGGACAGTCTACATATATGATGACAGGGCAGGCCTCCAGATGTCCTACTGGTTGTAGCTGTTTCTAGACTTTGTTTGTCCAGTGGGTGTCACCCGTGTGCATCAGGTAATTTACCATATAGGTAGCAGTTTTCATTCTGGGGTCATTACTAAGGGGAGGGAGTGCAAATAGATGTATGACTGCACATGAAGTGAAAGCTGTGTGGTTGTGGTTAAATGAATGAACGGAGATATATGGGCACGGATCTGGATTCCTGCATTTAACAATATTACTTAAAGGTATAATAGGTACAGATGCTTACCATTCTGCACAGGAGCAGGTTGTATGTTTGCAAGGGTCTGAGGAGGACAAGCAGTAGTCTGGTTCTCTGGTTTCATCTGACATGAGAAGGAAGCAAAAGCCTGAGCACCTTTTACTGAAGAAGTCAGCTTGGAGGCTCTCTGCTGTGCCTGCAGGGTCTTTGAAGGGATGGAAGATCCTGAAGCTGCTGGTTCACGCAGAGGGACCAAAATCTTGGGTTGAGGTCTGCTCTTTGCCACTGGCTGCTGATTGGATCAAAGTAATATCAAGTTTTAATTGGAGCCAAATTAATTTCAAAAAATATTAATGCTCATCTGGGTTTGTCTGTAGATATTTAGCTGTGTCAATAATTCAAATTGTACAATCATTAGATAGTCTTCTTTGATGATTCAGCTTCCATCTTTTGTTTCTTCGTGGTATCAGTTAATTGACATTATATGTTTTATAAATGTACTACTATTAAATGTCTATGTATTTGATTATTTCAGATATGTTGCATTTTCAGTGTTTGCAGGTACCTCTGTATGTTTGGCTTCATGTGCCACCCTCTTCTTTCCTGGTAATGTTAGAGGTGTGGTGGTCATTTCTGCCTTCTCCACTTCCATTGCTGCAACCTAAACATGACAAAGTATAAAGAAAACACGTCTTCATGGTTTAAAATATGTCTGAATCTTGGATTTGGAGTATCAACAGCATACTTACAGACACATCAGGTTGCTCTTTATTTCCTTTATCCTCATTATTTGCCTCCATGAAGATCCTGTAGCATTCTTCCATTGGGTCACTCTCTGACAGCTCTACATCTGAATAGTTGAGCTCTTGCTCATCCTCGGAGCTGGAGATTATTATAACCTCTTCGTGACCTGCCTTGAGCTGCTCAGTGGTTTCAGATGAAGAATCACCTTTGTTCATCAAATGTGAGTTGACAGATGTTGATGAAGCCTGGTTGTTGAGAGAACCACTCTGCATCTGTCCTGGTGTTGTGCTTGACATGTTCTGGCTTCCTGACACCAGTGATGGGGCACTTCGCTTGGGAGACAGGTGGTTATGAACATCCATCTCTGTTGACTGGGCTTGGATGGTGCGTTTCCTGCATGGTGAACCTGAGCTTGCAGCCTGAGCTTTATATGAAGGCGAATTCTTCGACTGACAGTAATGCGACAGCAGTGGATTCATTTTCTCATCACTACGAGCAACCTCACGTAGAGGCAGTTCGACCTGAGGTGGATTTTCCTCCTCTTCAATGCCCAGATTGTCACAACTCTGATATTGTTGGTCTGAGGAGGCAGGGGGACTAACATGTTCAGGAGTATTGTCAACTTTTGTTTCAGCAGCCTGACAAGAGATTTTCAGACATTCATTTTCCAGATCCTCTAAACATCCAGTTAAGTCAATTACACTCCCATCGTCTGGTATATTTACACATCTTTTTTTCTCATAAAGAGTAGATGTATATTGATTGTTTTCAACACTGCAATCATCAACTGTAACTACGTCTTCCATTGATGCACGTGAAGCCTCAGCATCTGCAAGGGGCAGCAGTGGAGAATCAAGTGCAAAGGGGGCCCTTTTGACCTCCTTCAGCTGTTCTACTGTACCCTGGGTACTGCCAGCAACACAATCAAGCTTCTGAGATTGGCCTCTTTTTTGGTCAGGCGAGGGAGGAATGTCAATAATCAGGACACTGTCTTCAATCGAGTCCTCGAGTAGATCTGGAGATGGCGTTTGAGAAGTCTGAGTGACTGGCTTCTTTTGGTCAGACAGCACAGTGTCTCTCTCTCCGTTAATAACTTGTGCATTTTTCACTTTCTGCTCCTTACTTGACGAGCTGTAAGACCGCAAGTCTGCTGAAAAGTTGGACAGGGGGTCATACTCCAAGTCAGTCCTTGGTTTTGAGTTGTCAACCACATACTTCCTTGTCCGAGAGTATGTCTTTTTTAAGTCAGGGTGGGACAACAGAGAACGTCTGTCTTGACATTTACCTGAAGTCTCAGACTTGGACACAGAGAAATTAGGCAAAGTGTTTCTGCTGTCTGACTGTACGGTCTGGTAGCGTGACAGTCGTCTTTTCTCCTGCTCCACCTCGTGCCTCACAGCTTCGATCTTCTTGTTGATCTGCTCCAGCTCTTGGAGACTCTCTTGTGTGGTCTCATCGCTCACTGGTGATCCACAAACAAGTGACAGGTAGCAATTCTGGACTTCTGTTAAAGGAAATACACAATAGCATATTTTATTACCGCTGTCAAAGATGTTAACCTTTCACTGATGTCTGCAAAAATGGATTTCGAACTAAACTTGGCAGAGGGCCTGGGCCTGGTAAGAACCCATTAGAGTTTGCTGTGGATGCAGATAAAGGGACAGCTGCAGATGTTTTCTATAATCATGTGTAGGATTATTCAGCCTTGAGGTGAGAAACCAGTTCTAGTTTACATTAGTGATATTCTGACACAAAATTCGGATTTAGGTAAAGTATAAATAAGTATAATAATAAAGTATTGGGCACCGTTGGTTTGGGGACATGTGGCCAAAAAGATACAAGTCGTTTTAGGTGTAAATTAACAGTTTTTATGGGGTTGTCTTTTAAAACTAATCATTGTAATTGATTGATTAATGAATTTAGTATGAAACAAATAGAACCACTGATAATTTATAAAGAAAAATTAAGGATACAATTGATTTTCCTGCTTCTGGTTTAAAATAATAATAATATAATGATGCACTAAACTTAGTAACCACAGTGATTCGGACAAAAGTTAGCCAAATGATGCAGCTAGCTAAACGATAACGTGTAACTGAACCGATTAAAATGGATAAAACAGCCACAAAACGTTTTTTTGAAGTGTCGTGTCATCCACTTTAGTTTAGTTTAGTTTTAGTTAAGTTTACCTGCATTTTTCACAATTTATGAGCATTTTAAAACTTTTTAAAACACACAACCCAGGCTAACGTGCACCGGATGTAGCATGTAGCCAGCTAGCACACCTGTGAACACCGACCTGCTGGGGGGACCGCTGAGGGCTGGGAGGAGGCGGCGGACACGTCCCGCTGCTTAGAGCCATGTTTGTAGAAACAGTGAGGCCGCTCGCAGAGCCCGACCCCCGGGGAGGGACACTGCAGATCCGCGAAGAGACCGGACGAGCGAAACATCGGCAAAGACGCCAATTTCCTCACCGAGTTCAGTGAACGGTCGACCGGGCAGTTGGAGGTGGAGGAGCCGGAGGCCTCGCGAGCTTCTCTTTTATAGTCCCCGGTCCGGTTCTGTTTGAAAAGTGTTTGTTGAAATAAACACAAGCTGGACACGAAACTACTTCAGTCTCAAACTAATACAACTCTTTACCCAGCCAGGAAGTGTTGAGCGTGATTGATTCGTGGGTTGATTGCACAGGACAGGTTTGATTTTTAAATTAGTCAGCTTCCCTTTTGTTTGTCCTTAATATCTTATCTATTAAAATGAAAAGTTCTCATTTATTCCAGAAGTCAACTAACCCCAACTACAGGAAGTAGAGCGTGAGCTCATGTTTGAGTTAGTTGTGAATGAACACCCCCCCCCCCTGGGAATTGGGACACTGTGTCTGTGTGTCACTGTAATAAACCAACATTATTACAGCGACACAGAATATTAAATGACGCCATTACTCACTTACTTACTTAATGAAGTTAAAGTATCGTTACTCGTTACTCTCGCTCAGACTGTTTACATGTTGTGACGGCGTGAGCAGCGATTTTCCCCTGAAATCCTTGTCACAGCGATCCGATGTCATGTCATTGTCATCATCTACTGGGTGAAGATGTTCCGGTGGATTCAAACTTATTGTGACGGTGTTATATTTGCAGGATTTCATTACTTACACTTACGAGCGTGTTACCCGCTGCAGTCGCCATGTTGATTCGTCTGCTTATGAAGCGTTCGGGTATTTCCGCCCACTTTCGTTTTGATTTTGTTTTTGTTTTGTTTTTTGGGGGGGTCGGGGGGGGGGGTAGTATTATGCTTTTAAAAAATCTAAATCAATTTGTTTTATGCAGGTCAAAGGACAGACAGCTGCATAAGAAAAAAGTAATATTCATAGAAATGTCATTAATTCATACTGACATATGAAAGTCCTATTTTTCCACAAAGAACCCTTAAGTCTTAGTAAAGAAACTATAATATGTATTTAAAACATTGATTATTCACTGAGTAATCCACCATGTGCTGGTTAAATAACCAGTTTAAACAGACAGGGACAGGCTGTTTTTACTACTAACTCCTGTCTGATAACTGCAGATATGCTACATCTCTTTAGTTTATCTTTTTTTATTTTACTTCAGGCAGTCTCTAAATGCATATTTCCCACATGTAGAGAACTGAAACGATTGTCCCAGATTACCTCAAGCAAGATGTCCCACATTAACAATCCTGTATGATTAAACTCAACTCAATTTACAACAGATTAATATCCTCAACATTAATAGTGTCAGATCCATTTCACCCCATGAAGTCCTGGGATTTCACCCTACATTGAAGGGTTGTTTGCACATAGGACTAAGTTATGAATCGGAACACTGAGTTATAACTTGTTTTGTTTTTTTAACATCTGCAAAAAACTGATTTGTTGTAGTTCACTTTGTAGCTTTAATCCCTCCAAACCGACAGGCGGCGCTGTGGTAAATAACTGAACTATGACCTGCAGAGAAGCAGTAGTTTCCCTGCGTGGTGCAGTTTTCCAGTTGTAAACAAAACAACAACAGCGTGTCTACTTATTACAAACGTTATTAACAACGACTCTACTCCTCATATATCCGCTGTCTGACATGGGAAACAGTGAGGATGAGCTGGAGGAGGATGACACCGAGTGGAGGAGCAGTTTCCTGGACCCAGCTCCTCTCAGCCCCGCTGCTCCTGCTCCTGCTGCGGCTCCGGGTAAAAAACTGAGCCCAGAAAATGTCTCTCTGACGAGCAGAGAGAAACATAACGCAGATGGTTTTCATTGTATTTATAATATCTCATCATCCGGATTTATATTTCAACCCTGTTTGAGACCTGGTTGCTTCTGCAGCTTCCTCGTGCTTTAGCTTTATTCAACACAGTTTTAGTTAATTTCAAACATCCAGATTTCAATATCACCAAAATGTATTGAAAAGTAAAATATTTCCCACAATTGTTGCAATGATTAGTCGATAAATAGATTTGTTGAACGAAAGAGTAAGACTGAACTGATTTGGATACTTGCTTCAGTCTTGTTTAGAGCGATAAAAAAAAGTTGGCATCACTTAGAATTAATAATAATTGTAAATTATTCAACTTCCTTGATTGGTTGTTGCAATTACTCAGGAATCACTTTTGGTTTGGTAAAAACACAAAAACATGTTGTATTTGCAGTTTCTATGAAGCATTTTAAAGACATCACCTTGTGCCCTGGGAAATGTGTATTTTCTTTTACAGTCTTGCAGTCAACATATACGTTGAATACGTTGTTAAGAAACCCCTCAGATTGTATGTGAAGTTAAGTTATCTGGTGTAAAGTCTTAAAGTTTTCAATCTGGTTGGTAGGTGTAGATTGAAATTGTAGTTAGTGAATAAATAAATATGGCCTACAGAATCATAGGGAAGCAGCAGATGCAACTGAGCAGAGCTGGCAAATGAATCTAAGAAGCTGGAAGGAGTAAATATTTGTAATTTTCACTCAAAATATAAAACTGAAATAAAAATATATTTTATTAAATTTTCTCTTCAACATAGTGAGGGAGCTTTCTAAAGCTTCTCACTCACGTGTATTTGGACCTTGTGCTCTCAGGGAGGTGCTATAAACAAATACAATGTTTACAGCAAGTCCTTCTTGCCTGCCCCCATATTTTTTTAAATTATACTCTATTCTTACCAATTATATTTTTTAAATCAGTACTGTGTCCCCATCAGACTTCTGTAACTAACTGTTTCAGGTCCAAGCCTGAATAAGTCATCCGCAGGGACCTCTGCACAAAGAGTCATTCTGCATTTTGACCTGGACTGCTTCTACGCTCAGGTGGAAATGATCAGAAACCCAGCACTGAGAGAAGTGCCTTTAGGTAAACTGATGGAATAGATTAAAATGTGTAAGGTGTGTTTCTACTTAAGCTCAGAATAATCTTGTTTCTCATGTTGTCAGGTATCCAGCAAAAATACATCATAGTCACCTGTAACTATGTGGCAAGAGAGCTGGGTCTCACCAAACTGATGTCTGTGACTGATGCGAAAGAGAAATGTCCTCAGCTGGTGCTGGTTAAAGGAGAAGACTTGACACACTACAGAGAAATGTCCTATAAAGTGACAGGTGAGCAAGACAACTACATCACATCATATAGCTGTACTCTGTTCTAATAATGAGTGGAATGTTTTTTTAACATATTTAAAGTTAGGTTTTCACCTCCCATCTGGATAATTGTCCTGAGTGGCGCATCACACACTCTTTATTTACGTTGGCTTTGCTTTCATCATTTACTGAGATATTATAATAACCCACAGATTAATGCAACATACCTTGTTGAAAAATATTTTGGGACATGTAGTGGATGTTTCCTTTAGCTAACAGCAGGCATATTTTCTCTCTGCCCAACTCTCTTTACCTCTGATGTCCTCTATCCAGAGCTCCTGATGTCCTACTGTCCACTTGTCGAAAGGCTTGGATTTGATGAAAACTTCATGGATGCCACAGAGATGGTAGAAAGACGGCTAACGCAGGCGCCAGACCTGAATAACTTTTCATTTACAGGACACATCTACAACCATGTCAGTAAGTCACATTTCTGCCTTTGGTGTGTGCATCGATAGTTGTACATCCGGCTCATGGCAACCAGGAAGTTAGTGTAATATTTGCATTGCTCTTTCAGTTTCCTTCTACACAAAAAGCTCCACAGATAATATGAATGTCTGACTATCTATTCTTGCTCAGGTGCAAATGTTAAAGCCAGTGACCACCCGAGGCTGGCTTTAGGTTCACACATTGCAGCAGAGCTGAGAGAAGCCATCCACAGCAAACTGGGTCTGACTGGCTGTGCTGGCATTGCAACAAACAAGCTCCTGGCCAAACTGGTGTCTGGCACCTTCAAACCCAATCAGCAGACAACACTGCTGGAGGAAAACCTCTGCGACATCATGGGCTGCCTGAGCAGTCTCCGCAAAGTACCAGGTATATATGTTAGACATTTTAGTAAAAGCCACCAGAAGAACTCAAATAAATGGAAAACAAACCCAAAGAGATTCTGTGTCTGTCCATACCTGGTTCTAGGCTTCAATATTTTTTTTAATTGCCATCCGAGTCAATTATTAGTTGGTTTGTGTCTCTTTCAATCTACACGTCTTGCTGGTATAGAGGGAGGTTGAGGGGCATTTTTTCAAGCAGTGCTCAGGAGCACTTTGTCTCATAATCCATCCATGGATGTGCTTCTTAAAAAAGCTCTTTGATGTGTCTTTGACCCACATCACTCATGTCAAATATTCCTGATGCTAAATGTGTGGTCTCTTCATGTCCTCTTAGGGATAGGTCACCAAACTGCTAAAAGACTTCAAGCCCTGGGTTTGGTCAGTGTCCAAGACCTGCAGCGCTTCCCATTGAATGACCTGGTGAGAGAGTTTGGAGGTCCCAGTGCCCAGCGCTTGAAGAATCTGGCCATTGGCGTTGATGACTCCCCTGTCACCCCTACTGGGGCCCCTCAGGTAGGCTGGGGTATCCAGAGCATCTACTTAACCTGAGGGGGTGTTTTACTGGGAATTAATCAAGGGAGGTAACAAATGAGTAAACAAAATATCTTGTCCCCCATTTCATCAGTAGAAAATAAAGGCAGGTGGTGGGGTGGAGTTTTGGAAAATCTTTTCTCTGATGTATTATTTTGTATATATATCCTGTATATATGTCCTGGAAACTTTCCTAATAACTTTAAAACATTTTTTTATGTATGTAGGAAAATGGTTTATAAATGCATGTCAATATCCATTTGAGTTTCTGCAAAATACTGAAAATGTGCTACAGAGTAAAAGCTAATTTAGTACACATAAAAAAAATGTCTGTAATGTTTGAATTGGACGATATTTGTCCAGTTATCTGTCCAGCACTGGAAAACTGTTAACAGTAAAGTGTTGAATTTGATAAAGTAGAAATTGCAGAAACTCATAAACAAAGATTCATTGTTCATTCATTGAAATAGCTGCAGTTTCCCCTTTTCAAAGTGAAAATTGTGTTTTACCACAATCTTTATGTTGCAGTCTCTCAGTGATGAAGACTCGTTCAAAAAAATGTCATCAACTAAAGATGTTTTGCAAAAGATTCAGCAGCTCTTGAGCAGTCTGGTGGAAAGGTCAGGATGGGTTTCTCCACCCTTTAATCAAATTGTGATGTGTTATGCTTGAGCCACTGAATCTAACCTTTATCACTTGTTTGATAACTAGGATGAACAAAGATGGAAGGCAGCCTCAAACCTTCCGACTCACAATCCGTAGATACTCAAAAACCAACAAGTGGTTCGGTCGCGAGAGCCGACAGTGTCCGATCCCCAGCCACATCGGACAGAAGATCCCCTCTGGTAAGCTCTTGCAAATAGACGGATGCTGAAATACCCCACCTGCAAGAGCAAAATATAGTCTCCATATATGGCAGCTTTCTTCACCATGAAAGTGCTCGTATTTGTTTCTTCTTTATAACTCAGCTTTATTTTTTTCTGTAATGTCTCTATAGGCCGCAGCGATGATGCTGTGCTCCAGCTGGTCCCATTGGCCATGAAGCTCTTCCACAAGATGGTGGACAGCAACACCTCCTTCCACCTCACCCTCATCAACGTTTGCTTTAGTAACCTGCAGACCAGGGGAGCTGCCGTCAGCAGAAAGGGTTCCATAACATCTTTCTTCACACATGGCACTTCTCCGAGAAAAACACAGACCAGCTCGTCACAAAGTCAGGTGAAGTACAGCAGATCATTTAATCTCCCATGTTTCCATCAGGGTATAAAAGGTTTTAAGAAGCATTAAACTACTTAAAAAGGCTTAAGAAGATTGTAAAGAGTCTTTAATTTGATTTACATGAAGTCTTAAATATTTTCTGTTGGCTGCTGTTGGCAGTAACATTTGCTAGAAAAGGTTTATTGTTGCAACAATCTGTCATGTTTAAATATCAAAATATATAGCTCATTGACTTCCGACACCTGTGATGAGATTTGATGGATGGATCGGATGATTGAAGAGGTCGCAATCATAAATGTTTTGTAAATGCTTTCTCGTGAAAGCTCAGGCAAAACAAATGATTTTATGGCATAAACAAGTCCTCAGGCATTCTTAGAAAAAGTGAGTTCTCTGAATTTTCCTTGAATCATCTGAGCTCCTCCTTTTTTCCAGCAGAATGACTCCTCTCAGAGCGCAGACAGTCAGTGCATGGATCATCAGTTCAGTGTGCACAACATGGTTATACAGCACACCTCACAAATGACAGCAACCACAAAAAGCCCTGATAGCTATGAGGCAGCATTACATGGATCCAAATGGAAACAAAGCTCTGTTGTTGCTGTAAAAGATGCTCCACTTCAGAAAGGATGCAGCGCAGCAAGGTCAGACTTTGATGAAGCAAGCAACACCGTGACACAACGATTGCCCCAAAAGTTTGACCCAGAAGTGTTCAAACTTCTCCCTGAGGATATCCAGGTGGAACTGTTATCTCCTGCCTACGTAAACTCTTTTCCCAGCACTTCTACGAGCTCCTCAGCACCAACCACAGTCCCTGATGTCCCCCACACACCAAAAGCCCCTTCACCACAACCTTCACAGCCTTTTACAGAAAATATTAAAGGGGCCGTTAACGACTTGGATCCATCTTGCAGCACGACCACAGTGAATCATCAGAGGCCTCTGGCCACAAGTGGATTCCTAGTGAAAGAAGAAGGGAGACTGTCATTCCTTGGGTCTTCTGACTGCAAATTCCCGGGAAATGTGGACCCTGAGGTTTTTTCTGAGCTTCCGCCGGATGTTCAACGGGAGCTGATGTCTGAATGGAAGCAGCAGAAGCCGATGCTGAAAACCTTGTCATCCAAGAAACCAGGGAAAAGGTTAATGACCAAAGACAGAAAGGCTGCAGGAAAAGGAGGTCAGGAAAACAGTCTGTTCAAGTATTTCAAACCTAGTTAGAGAGAACACCTGACAAGTTACCTCTGCTAAACATCATTTATGTTAATAATCAAACATATTACTTTTCTATTTAAAATTAAGTTTTATTTTATTATTGTTGAGTTGTTCTCAAGAAATAGACTGGGAGTGAACTAAATAAAAGATACTTTGTCTAAATTGGTGAGGCTTTTTGGTTTTTGGTGACACATCTGTATATCAGAATTAACAGAAGGAGGACCACAGGTAAAAAAGTAAGCAAATAATATAACATTGGTTTAAAAGTAAAAGAAAATAGGACACAGTAGTAGAAAGGAGGAAGAGTGGCTACACACATCAGCATTACTGACCCAATTACTTAAGGAATTAGTGAATTAGTTAGATGTATTGTTTTTAAAGATTGATATTGATTTCAACATTATTTGTTTAATCTCCTTTTACTGTATTGTTTTACTTTCCTAAACATGGGACAAAGTAAGTCATAAAATCTTAAAGCAGCCTAAATTGTGACTTGAGCTTCAGGTTCATTTGTTTTTACACTGTTTAGAGAAGCAGGATTACGTCACTGAGCTTCAAGAAGTTGGAACTCAGTCTTAGTTTTTCCAGCGGGATCCACAGAGGCACAATTATTCATCAACAGGATTCAAAGAGCCTTTTTTTGTGTAGTCCTCATGAAAAATACCAGAAGACACAAGGTCTGTAAGCACCCCCCCCCCCGCTCGGGTCCTGCTGCTCTCAGACCCCTCCCAAGGATCACATGTAAGAAGGGGGAAGTTTCAGGATCTACTATGTGCCATCGCATCATGATAGTTATTGTTTGGAATGTTCAGGAGGAATTGCGTAAACTGAATGGACACTGGCTGCAGATAAACTGGTGAGGAACTTTCTTTGTTTTCTGTCACATCGTCATGTTTTGCAAAGAAACCTGTTGTGTCTGAGTGTGCTGTTTTTTGGTAGTGTTCCTCGTGGAGATGTGTTTCGTCAGGTAAACGCTCACTGCTGTAGATCGGAGAGTCGATTACTAAGACGCTGCTCACTCTGCTGATCACAAAGAATCTAACACCATCGATCATGCACATGGGAAATGACTTCAGACATCATAGTAGTGTCCCATGTGTGGTCGCTGCTGCACGACAGTGAAAACCTCCTGAATGTATTCATGTAGCCTAACTCTATTCCAGCAAGTAGGATTTTTAAAAGATTTGAAATAGTGTGATTCAGGACTGTTAGTGACATGAGAGCTCTGAACCATCCCTAACAGAACTAATCTGATTTCCATGCTTCTTTTTTTGGTTTGCTAAGTGTAACCGAAGCATTGCAGAGACCTGACTGGTGTGCATACAGTGTGGAGCTGTCTGCCAGTAGCCCTATAAGTCAATAAAAGGAGTTCTGTCTGCCAAACATTTTTTTTTTTTTTTGCTCACATAAGTCAGAGCCACTCATGTGGAAGCCAGCTCCAGTCATGTGCTGCTCCCTCTGTGATCAGTGCCTAATGAGCTGGGAGTTATGACGTCTTGCTATGCCTGTGTGATGCCCCTGCACCCTCTGAAAACTGCAGCTTAGGTGAAAAGAATTTAACCTTTCTTTTCTAGTTAACTCACCCAATAAGCAAGGCCAGATTACTGATAGGCAACTGCCAGCAGTCCTTAATTCACGCTGACCTCAAAAACCCCAGGATCATATTTGATTCTGCATTATTTGATTAAGAGCAATTTTGTTGAAATCTGGGCCTACTCTCACCACCCAACTTTATTCTGTTCTATTTGAATCTACCAGTCACGTTTATTTCATTCACCCTGTCAGAAGTTCCTGATTTCTGAATTGCTGGTTGGTCGAAAATTCTCTGATTACAATTGATCTCATTTGAATGATCCGATATCGATTCATAAACAGGACGGATCAATCACGCTCAGGTCCCTGGGGGGGAAAATAAGTTTTTGGTGCTGCCTTCAGGTGCTGTCAAACAACAAAACACTACTCAGAGGACAACCAAGCCAGTCTCCATGTGTTCACAGTTTGTTCATTTACTAAAGCAAACAAGGCTGTTGAACTTATTTTAAATGAATGGCTAATGTATCATTAAAAATAATCTTCAGTGCTTCGTTTAAAGGTCCAGTGTGTAAGATTTAGGTGAAAGGGATCTATTGGCAGAAATTTAATGTAGAATAATCCTCATGATGTTTTCACTTGTTCATTTCATCTAAATTATATGAATTGTAGTTTTCTTAACCCCAGAAAAGGCCCTTTATATTTAAATACTTCATATTTACATGTAGGGGTCCCTCTCTACGGAGGCCACCATGTTGTTCAGCTGCATTATGCAATTTTAACACTAGATATCACTAAATTCTACACACTGTACCTTTAATTTCCTATTGAGACACGTTCTTGAAAACTTGGAAAACACTAAGTTCAGGTAGAATATCAACAGAGTCCTCTATCTTATGGTCCTCATCTTGTCATCTCATCATCTCATCTTGTTTGTTTAGGCTATTAATGACCACATTGTACCCCAAAGCCAAAGCAAATACATACAAATGTTAGTTTCTGTTTCACCAACAGACCAAAATCCAACATATACTATCAAAGATTCACTTTTGAGGAGCAAAAGGAGCAAAGTTCAAGTGTTTCTTTTTTTTTTTTTGCATCTTGTTTAAAACCCAACTTTCATAATTAATCAGATATCAAATCAGTTGCTAATAAATTTCGCTAAGCTGATGAACTGATTGATCACCTGATAATTTCTGCTCCAGAGTATTGTTTTCTTGGTGCCTTAGGGAATAACAATCATAAAATGTACCTATTACAGTTTGCAAAATATTGTACTGAGAGTTCACTTCTGTGGCAGGTTGAGCACTCATCTGCACGATGGCTGACTGGGACTATGACTACATGATCAAGCTGCTGGCACTCGGCGACTCTGGGGTGGGGAAGACCACCTTCCTCTACAGGTACACCGACAACAAGTTCAACCGCAAGTTCACAACCACAGTGGGCATCGACTTCAGGGAAAAGAGAGTGGTGAGTGATGCCCAATGTGATCCGACAAGGCCTTCATTGTCACATCACCAGTGCATTAAAAATCGTATAACTTGGATTCAAATATTTTGCGGCTTTGTTCAGATATACACAGGGACGGGTGCTGATGGGACGACTGAGAGGAACTTCAAAGTCCACCTTCAGCTCTGGGACACAGCAGGACAAGAAAGGTACATTTCGTTCTATGTTCAAGTTAAATTTGACACGATAAACACGTTCATTTCAACCCTTCATGGAGGAGTTGAACATGTCTTCCTTTGGTGACACCTAGTGGTAATATTGCTGCATAGCCAAATTGAATTTGGGAAGGGGTCAGTATTGATTCTTCTTTTATGGAAAATGTACCATCCAGTTTGTTCGATTACAGAATAGACAGACCCCTTACAAATCAGTGACAGCCCCCTTGATGGTTACTGAATGTGCCTCAGTGACGCTCTCATTGGAAGCTGCTTTGTCAGTCATCGTATCGAACCTGCCCCGTTCGAGATAAGTGTCTGTGATTGGCCTGATCAGTTTCAGTCCTGAGGTTTAATTCATCCTTTGATGAACATGAATGTGTCCACAGCTTATTTCAAATGTTATGTTGTTATTTCGAATATTTTTCTCTTCTATTTTCTCTGGTGAAGAGCTAACAATCTGAGAACCACACCGGCCAAAAATCATGCAGTAAAAAATATTTCAAATATGTCAAAACATAAATGGGTTGCTGAGATACTTCAGTCTGGACCAACCTCAGCATGTTGAAAAATCTGCGCGTAAAAAGCTTCATGCTGAATAACAATGGTTGTGTGTGTTCTCAGATTCCGCAGCCTCACTACGGCTTTCTTCAGAGACGCCATGGGCTTCCTGCTGATGTTTGACTTGACCAATCAGCAAAGTTTCCTCAACGTCAGGAACTGGATGAGTACGTGTCATCTCAGCAGCTTCCTCTGCTCCAGATCAATACTCCTCTTCAATCAATGTCTCCTCTCCTGTTGCTGCTCAGAGCCAAATGCAAAGTCGCCTGTTTCCAGTGTTATAGTGTTGACTCTTCTTAACTTGAGTTTTAAGTTTACTCATCATGCCAGTTTTATTATTTGCAATAAATTATTAATGACTTTTCTCTGTGTTGGAGCAGGTCAGCTACAGGCCAACGCGTACTGTGATAATCCAGATATCGTGTTGGTGGGCACCAAGGCCGACATGCGAGACCTGCGGGATGTTCATACCAGACAGGCTAAAGATCTAGCAGACAGATACGGGTGAGGCTTTAAATACATACTATTGTTTTTTGAAATTTACCCTGATACCTCATCTAAGCCTCAAACACCTGATTTACATTCACACTTATTTCACAGAGGAAAGACAGAAAAAATTGTTAAATATTTAGTGATTACATTTGTATTAGTTATATAATAAACCCAACAGAAATGCTATTCTAGTAGAGTCCAAAATCAAAATAATGATCATGTACATTTTAAGAAATATGGCCACTTCATGAGCTCACAGAATAGTTTAGGCCTTATCATCCCTGCTTGTTCTTCTTAGATGTAATTTGGTGAACTTTCCACAAACCCTTAAAAATTGGTTTGGTAAGATCCTACTTTACTTTTATCACCACTTCACCACAGGATGGTGCTAGTCAGCTTTCTTCCACACATTCTGCTTTGGTCTTTGGCTCTGAATCAGGTGATTCAACAGGCAGTTCCCAACATGGGATGGGGCTCTAGAAGTTCAGCCTCAAGGGTCAATAGATTCATAGATATGCTATATAAGCAATTTTCTTACCTTTTAGTGTAATTGCTACATGTAGATTGTCTCGATGGTGTTGAGGTGTTTCCTCATCTCATATTCTACTTTTAGATTTTGCAAAGTTTCTGGAAAAAATCGGAATATTCTTGACATAACTTGATGATTTTAGCCTGATCAGTAACAGACCCTTTGGTACATGTGAAGATATTCCTGAATGTCTATACCATTTTCAATGCTGGACTTGGCGTCATCCCCCTCTCTGTTTCCCTCAGCATCCCCTACTTTGAGACAAGTGCAGTGACGGGTGTGGATGTGGACAAGGCAGTGACCACCCTGCTGGACCTGGTGATGAAGAGGATGGAGCAGAGCACGTACGTGGGCCCCAGCTCTGAACCCAACGGCAGCATCGTCATCACCCACGATGTGCAGGAGGCTCGTGTCAGGAGAACGTGTGCTTGTTGATCTCAGACACCGGCAGCCACTGTTTACACGTCTGCTCTGAGTGACACTGTAGCTTGAGAAGCTACCGGTTTATGGAGCTTGACTAAGGTGCCTGCTAGGTAAGACAGAAGATCAGTTCCACAAAGATTTGATTCATACTATGAAAAATATCCCTTTTCACTGAAAGCAGTACAGTTAAGTGTAAATCCTCCCTGTCACATTATTTATTTGCAGCCTGTGCATCGTTAAGCATCAGGTCTTAAAAGATTCTAATTTAAAAGGTTAAATTCCACCTCAGATTCCACTTTCCACTTAAAGAGTCTTAGAAGGTTATGAGAAGTCTTCAAATTTTATATTTTATGTTCTATTGCCTGGCATAAACATTCAAGTTCATTATAAAACTTAAATTAACCTGATTAAATTAATAATTTGTAATTGGTTATTATGCGTATCCCAGTTGCAGTTAACCCTGACCATGAAAATGTATTTAATTGGTCAGTATCATATTTAAAAAGTATTGAATAGACTATGGTTTAACTCGATGAACCCTGTTTAAAAAAACACCCTAGTGATTGTGATTCAGCAAAAAAACAAAATCATCTTCAAATGAGTCATATCAGAGAAAAATACCATTTTAATTTGACACATTGAGGCATTGATGGAAGGAGTATGCAGGCACAAAATGTATATTTACCATGGAGTATAATCGAAAAACACTTAAGACATTCTTATATGAACGACCAATATAGCACAGTCCCTTACATGATTTATGACTTTTATACAACATGTACATAAGCAGCCAAGCTTTTTTATGCTTTATGGAAGAAAGTTGCCATGCAGATTGAACACAACTACAATAATGTTAAAGGGTTGTTGGAGTCCTGTATAATGCTGCATTTGGAATAAAGACAGTTTATGTTAAGATTACGTCTGTCACTGTCTGGTCATTTTAAAAGTAACACACTTAAGATATGTCGACACACATTCTTCACTTTTATCTTAAAAATTAAGAGAAACTTTTAGGAGAAGTAAAACGTCCAGCATTCACGTCAGCGGCAGTGAATTTTTCAAACGAGTCAAGCTACAAGAGAACATTCATGGAGTCACATATAAATTCCACTATACGTTACTTTGGCTGAAACTAAAAAAGTTTCAAATCAATTTTTTGTGCCACAAAAAGTGAAATTCAATATTTTGAAAAAACAATCATTTTATTCTACAACAATACTTAGTGTGAGTTGTCTAAACACATGGTCTTTGGTGTGCATATATAACATTCCTAATGAAGGGACAATTCATTAATTAAATGGCCTAAATTCAGCTAACCTTGTGTGTGTTGGTGGTGGTCGTGGTGGTGACTGCACTGTGATTCAGAGATGAGACAAAGACGTTAACTATCTGATATATTCATCTTGTCTAAGGAGACAGACAAAAACTGTTTTGTGTGGGACAGGGTGGCAGGAAAATGCTCGCCACGCTAAATCTCAAGGAGCACAAAAGCGCACACTGCATCTTCAGAGTGTCGATGACTGCATTGCTCTTTGTATTAAACCTCAGCCTAAGCCTGAATTTGCAACGCGGATCAAGCACATGCTGCAGACGCATGAGACGGTCATGTGGCCAGCTTTCACCGCTCGGGCCCCCGTCGTCCTCCACCCCACAGACCCCAGTCTGCTGCAATCTGGTGTGATGGGGTGGAGCGTCTGTCAGGGACCCTAGATTATCTACACTTATAAAAAATAAAGCTGTTCATTTTTAAGTTGATCTGTAGAGGTTTTGGTCCCATGTGGAATATAGCAGTAGGTTTCTTTTTTAGCTTTCAAATGTCCGTCATACAAAGACACTGGTGATATTTGAATACACCATCAGGAATACAAACAATAGCAAAGAACTCAAATTTACCCTCAAAACAAGCTTCAAAAAGGTTGTATAAAACTAGCCTAAAAGATTTGTTAGTGCCTCGCATGCAATGTCGTTTAAATGGATCATGCTTTTTTTTTTAAAGATGCAGCATTTCAATCGTTTTATATTGGGATTTATATGGTTATATGATGAGTTGATAGCTTTCCCCAGTCAAAAAGGCTCAATATTAAATAGAGTATTATTGAAATAGTGGTAAAGCTCAAGATCAGTTAGTTAGTTAATAAACTGTGTCCAAAATGTTTATGATGTCTCAGCCACGCTAGCGCAGGGTCACACGTCACAAGATGGTCGTATTATAGTAGCCTTCCCTCAAACGTCACATTTTCGCCTCATTTTTGGGAGAAACGGCCAAATTGCACTTTGATCCAACACTTTTGTTTCCTGGACAGTTACATGAATTTAATGAGTGGAGATCTACGCACCGTGAAATTAAAACGCGTTTCACAACATAAAATAGCTGTTATGTATTAAGAACACCCACTTAACAGCCAGGTTGCTTAGATAATGGAACAAGCGGATGCAACTAACGTAAGACCTGTTTAGCATGATGAGCTACCAGAGAATATTTGGTTGACATGTCTCTCATCAAACTATTTAACTTAAACATTAAAAGTTTGAAATTGCATTTCACAAAAAAATTATGTAATTATCTCAAATTACTCAACGTTACACTAAATAGCCAAAGCAGTTAGGTTAACATAATTGGATTTGCCACTAATGTGCATGAATACTACAGAACATGCAAACTTCTCTATGTATGCATCTATAGATAAAACAAAGTCATTTCAAACTACTTTTACAAAGACAGTTGTTTGCATTTGGAAGTTCTATTGCTTACGTTGCATTATGTTTCTTTATAGAAGTTTTTACTAGCTAAGATGTCGGGTTTTAAAGGGAAAAACACTTGAGAGAGTTATTTGAGAAAATCGTGTCTGTACATTCAGTATGAAGCTCGGAGACCAAAGGTCATAGAATCAGCAGCGCTAAAGCTCGCTAACATGTTCAATTTCATTTGTTTCATCTTTACAAAAAAGAAAACGAGTTCAAAAGCGACAATTAGTGGTTTTAGGATGTGTTAATTTGTTGGAGAGAATCAGCGACTCCCTGAAGTTTTGTCGTCACCGTGAAGTTACAACCTGATTTAGTTTGAAGGTCATTAGAAGTTTGTTTAGTAAAGACTTGACACAAAAACTTAGGAACAGATTTACAAATAGCCAGTAAAAGCTCTGCCCCAGTGTGTGGCTCTCATGTATTGCCATTACATCACAGACACTAAACCTTTGAAAAATAGATCTTTGACAAACATGAAGGTCATTTTATGCAACTGAATTTCTGCTGTAAAGAAAGTTACTCCAGACTCCTCAAACACTCAATAAATAAATCAATAAATATTTGTGCAACATGAAGCAATTTTGAAGAATTTAACAAAAATTATTGATAATTTTTTTTATTCGTCAAACAAAGTAATGTATGGAGATATGTTTATTTTTACTTACTGGGCAGAAAATAGACTATTAACTTCAGAAACTTGTAAAAAAACATATTTTTATTATTATTGTGCCGCAGTGTCTGGAAATACTTTCAGAACAGAAAGTGTTGTTAAATGACGTATTAGGTTTTTCAAAAGTTGCCAGGTATCTAACTCGTGTGACTTGAATGTAACCGCTAGCGTGGCTATTCAACTGTTATATATGTATATATATTTCAAATCTTAAAATCTTGTTCTCAGAACCTAATGTAGGTTGATACCACTTTCTTTGATTCTGTATTTTAACGACAACATACTTTCTGTTCATGAATTTATGGCTTTTTGTTGGAATGTTGATTATTATTCCAAAAATTGGTGTGGACGGTCAAACTTTCTACATAGAATAAAAGACACACAAGTATATTTATATATACGTGTGTGTGTGTGTGTGTGTGTGTGTGTGTGTATGTATGTATGTATGTATGTATGTGTGTGTGTGTGTGTGTGTGTGTGTGTGTGTGTGTGTGTGTGTGTGTGTGTGTGTGTGGTCTTGTAAACAAATCTTCACACCTCACGGGGGAAAAGGCCTGAAAACAGGAAACGGCACCTCTCTGAGGCGTTGAATCTGATTACAAAAAAACACTGATCTAACTCCTTCCCTGAGATTAGGCAGTGATTTCCATGTATTGATTTTCAGAATCAGTGTACTGTTGTAATAGGCGATTAATCAGTCAATACTGAATTAAACACAACTGGATGATTTGACTATTTCTGACTCTACAGCTAAATCCCCTGCAGACTCCAGTTACAATAGACTTCTGCTCTGTTCGAGCTGTTAAGCCACAGCCAGCAGACATGCAAAGGAGAGTAATGAAGGCAAGTGAGCAGCATAAAAAAAATCCTAACCGTACTGAACGCAACCACATCCTGAATGAGTGTGTGAGCTACGTCCGGGGTGAGTCTGACATCTTCATGTGAAACTACAGCGTGTGTTTGTAGGATGAATGTGTCGTGAATGTCGTCAACACTTATCATGCATTGTGGGACACAACAGAAGTCTGAACTGAGCTGATGTATCTGGGTCACGGCCTCTGGAGTCGACTCTGAAAACACCCAACACTATGTCTAAGCTGTGCAGTGTGTCAGGCTGAGCTTGGTCACACCTTCCCTGTGGAGCTTGTAGAGCAGCTTGAACTCGCTGGGCAGCTGGTGGGTCTCCTGCCACTTGGTGGTGAATTTGGTCCCTTTCTTGTCGTAGTAGTGGTAAGGCAGATCCTTGCCTGTGTTGGGGTCCCAGCCGAAGGGCCAGAAGCCGTAGAGGTGGATCTCATCACACATGGCGTAAGCCAGCGTGTACATGAGGATTCCAGTGCTGAGACGTTTGGGAGAGAGGTTTTTAGTCTTCCAGTATCTGTGAAGGATAGTTAGTCAAAAGAAGAAATTCCATTCAGACACTTCTGATTAATCCATTACCTTTGAACAAAAGCTCACCATGAAGCAAATGTTACAGTATCTTAGGGAAGTTAATAACAATATTGAGCGACTGACTTTTAATTCACTTATTGTTCAGAAAGCTGGTCACACATCCTACTAACAACCTTAGCTCTGTTCAAAATACATTTCTGGGTTATTTTATTTATCAAATAGAAAATCGTGCTTGGAGATCCTCTGGTTCCACTGGTGTTTTCACCACAATTGCTAATATTAGGAACAATACTGTAAAATACAACTGCTAACTCAATATCTTTATAATAACAACAGATCAAGTTACCTTGTGTAATAGCATTAAAGCCTATCAACTAACTCTGCAACATACAGAGCATTTCTTTTAGCTTATTGTTTAGCTTCTTTTCTGGCTCACAACTTCACTGATTTACAGAATGTTTATTTTGTTTGTCATAAAAGTGGCCAAATGTGATGTAATGATCCTCAAAGTAAAGAAATAAGCCTGTAAACTTTAAAGTTTTCCGTTGCTGCATGTAAACGAAAGCTCCATCAGTGTCCTTAACGATACTGTAGCTGGAGCCTTGATGATACTTTTCATTTAGATTCTTATGCCACTTCAATTGTGCACAAACGATTGCTCGGATAGAAGCTCTTACTTGTTGACATCATGCATGATGTTCCCAGGCCAGGCCAGTTTGACCTTCAGTTGACCCTTGTGCTCCACAAAGAAGTCCACCAGGGTCCTGGTCACTGTGGCTGAGGTATGGAGGAAGAAGGCCGGGATCCACAGGATGGCGCCCTCAAGCTTCTTCAGGTTGAGGAAGAAGTTATTCCTGTCTTGGATGGTCAGCAGGTTGTTGTAGTACCTCTCCAGGATGCTGGGGTTAAAGGTGGTCAGGTTGGTCTTCCTGCCCACGTCTTTGGAGTAGACCTCCGTGGGGGCGAAGTTGCAGCGGAAGACGAAGTCGGCCTGGTCGATTTCTGGGCCGCAGTGGCTGCCGGTCAGGATTCCGCTGTTTCCCACCACAGCACACACACTGTAGTGCTTGTTGAGGACGGGAGAGGCGTCTGGGAGCAGGGATTTGAAGTTGTTGCTGATGGAGAAAACGTACTTGTGGCTGGAGTAGTCAAAGTGCATCAGCTGTCCAACACGCACACTGTTCTTTGTGAGGGAGAAGTTGTTGGGAATGTCGATGTAGCTGAAGATATCTTTCCTGAAAAAAGGAAAACACTCCAGTAAAGAGACACAGCTTTATATCTTGGGCCTGTTTTATTCCTGGACATTACTGAATATCAAAACAAGCACCAATCTAATTTTCAGTGGTCAAATTGTAAATTTCCTGATGGGGAAAATATATTATATTTGAATTGATTAGATGTTCAGGCTCAAGTCATGTTGGGCTTTTTCCTTTGTTTGAATGAACAAGCAGCAAAATCTATGAATGTTTGATGACTGTACACTGATGCATTATTTATTAATGCTGCCACTAATTTTCGCTATTAATCAGTTATTTGCTTTTTATGACATTTGACCGTCTTTCTTCACCATTTTTTTTTTCATTTGCCTTCAAGGTTTAATAATCCCCAGTAACAGTCAACGTGAAAAAAATGAAAATTCTTGACAAATGTTTTTTCTGTCTTCATAGTTTAACTAGTGTGAAGATTCTGAGGTTAAAAATAAAAACCCTTAAAATTCCTGACAGCTACAGTCCCCAGTTTGTCAAGCTTTGACAGAGCAAACCCAGCTACGCATTCTGCAAAACAACAGATACTCTGGAGGACAAATAAAAAATCAGAAAATCTCTTGCCTCAGCCGAGAAAAAGCCGTCTTGTTGAACCTCCACTTGGACGATTTTCCTTGAAGCTCTTCGTTTAGTGCATTGGTTAACGGGATGAACGATGGGTCCAGAAAATTCAAGGCAAACTGAGACCTGAAAACGATTAGAGAAAGATTTAGCAACAGTTCATAAACCCTACACAGTTTTTCATTACCCACTCTCGTATTCAAAAAGCCCACAGTGGTGAAGGAACGACTGATGTTTTGCACAAGTAAAAATATCACAGTTTAGAAAAAAGTCTGTTGAAAAATTGAAGTCATGCATTCATAATTATAGTATTAGCATCAAAATGCATTTGGCCTCTGTTTTGTACTTCAGTTTGTTCAGTGATGAAAGAAGTACTGTTTGATGAATACCACAGTTTGGAGTAAAGGTCAAGCATTTGTGCTTTTTACTCCAAAAAATGTCATACAGATCATTATAATATACTAAAAGTAGTAAAAGTACATATTTAATATGCAGAGTGACCCTTTTCAAAATACAACTGTATTATAATAATGAATGCGTTCGTGTGCTCATCACTTTAATGTTGCAGCAGGCAAAGGTGGAGCTCATTTTAATTACTCTATAAACTGCACTGTACTATAAACCTGTGAATTTCCCTGGATCCCCTGAATCCCTATAGGTCTGATGTTTATTTACTGTTTGTTTGAGAAAATGATATATAAATACCACAGTGCAATGTAAATGTCATGCATGTAGCTTTATACTTATAAAATAATTACAAGTATAGGATGTACTAAAGTACATAACGATAAAAAGCAGCTTACTTTATACTAATTTGCAACCGAGTGAAATAAGAGTACTGCAGGATTGTACTTATACTTCATTATTTTCAATCACTGTTTCTAAACTGATCACGTCTTCATCTACAAATTATCGG